GGTTGTTCCAGCTGCAAAAAATGTTCATGGATTGTTTGAAGAAAATGACAAAGAGTTCAAATGTTAACAGTCTCTAAATTTCCCCAGATCTCAATCTGATGGAGCAATAATGTGAGATCTGCTGGAAAAAGTGCGATCCATGGAGGCCCCACTTAGCAACTAACAGAACTTAAAGGGTCTGCTGCCAACGTCATCGTGCCTGATGCCACACGACTCCTTCAGAGCAGGTCAGAGGGAGACCTACACAATTTTAGACAGGTGTTTTTAATGTTGTTGCTTCTGCACCTAATTTTTGCCTGTATACAGAGTTTTGTGTTTAAAAATACATGAAAGAGATGAATATTCTTCAGTTAAAGGTTAAATAAGGCAGAGCAAAGGGGCTTGTTTAGTTAGTTATTCTAAAACAACGGTTGTCTTGAAATTACTCATCACTATTGTGATGATCAGAGCGATGCTGCACTCTGCTGGACAGAATGCAAACCGCACAACCTGAACCTGGTAGTAATAATGTTCCTTTTCTGTAGATGTATGTATATTGAGACACATTAAAATGCATTTGTGGAAATAAATGTGCAAAAATAGCATCAAGCAACCCAACACTCACAACAGAACAACAAATTTAGCTTCTATCAACTTGCCCTTGTGACATTTGGTAATTTAAAAATAATCTGCTCTAGTTTCAGTGGTCAGATAAGTTACAGTGTTGTTTATGGTGGACATGCTTGTAGGAAAACTACATATAAACAAGATAAAATAAACACTGGTTTTTGATACTTTAAAAAGGAACATTAACATGAATTATTTCATTTTACATGTTTAAGGTTTCTCTTACGGCAAGAGACTCTGGATTACAGTTCAATTATAAATCATGTATTTTACCATTGCAGTGCACCGATTGAAATTTAATAGGCTGATGTCACTTCCATAACTTGGCACTCTGCCTCAATATCCAGAGTTTATTTACACATCTCTGTGCAAGCATGTTGCCTGTATACCTCTACTGACAAGTAACAGAAAAAAAAAACTTTGGTGAGCAAAATTGACCACATATCAGACAAAAGGTTGACTGTGTACTGTGATAAATTATTTTGCAATTAATTATACACAAATGTAATAAATACAACTAATAAACTATAGTTATTACAGTTGTCACAACTTTAAAAAATATTGTTTACTCTATAAATCATCAAAGCCTCAAAGTCTGTTAATTATGGTAAGCAAAAAAAAACCTTAAACAGTTCACATCTACTATAAAATAAACACAGGACTTCCACACTTCCATCTTAATAACCAAATTTATTTCAAAACATCTGAACAAATGAGATGTAGGCCATTCCAAGTGAAACTGATGGTGTCCTCTGTTCCACAGCGCTGGATCGGCACCTCACAGCTTCAGTGGGCACTGTGAAGACAAGAGATCAGTCACACTCCATCTCAAAAATATTCACATTCAACAGCCAACAAAAACAAAACCGTCTTTTTCAATGCTTCTGCGTAAACAGGACACTAACAAAGAACAGGGAAATATTACAGACTCTCCTTTCAGGTAATTTAGTAATTGATTGTGAAGTATCAGATTTAATATTGCCAAAAATCGATCAGTGTTTCTGCACCGTGAGTCCTGAGATCAGCACAGAGGACCACAGGACTAACCCTGTACGCTGACATGGCTGAAATGCATGGTAAACCACAAGTCACAAGAGTTCAACTGTCACTGAAAGTGGTGGGCAAGCCAATGTCATCAGGGCCAGGAGATCAAGTGGGTCACAGCTACGCTTAAATCAAATATGAACACCAGTACAACATATAATACGGTTCAAATGCCAAGCAATAATCCGTATCTTTGTGAAACAGTTCATTTTTCGTAAAAAGTGCCAAAGAGCTCCATTCAACTCCATGGTAGTACAAAGCTGCTGTGTTTTTGTATTACACTTCATTAAAAGCTGTAATGTTTTCCTCACCTCCCATTTACATAAATTGCACAATATAATGCTGTTCAATGCAACTACTTAATCTACTCACTTGCATCAAAATTTATTCATATTGATTGCACAGTTGTATCATTACCTCACACTGGAGTTCATGATGTCTCTTACACTGTGATAAATTCTTGTGCAAAAACTATGTTTATTACAACTGCTGGGTTTTTTCCTTAAAAATATTGCTGTTTAGTCTATAAAATGTCCAAGTACATGTGTCTATTACACATCACCAGAGCCCAAAGCTACATCTTCAAATTGCTGGAAGGCTTATAATGTTGACAGTTTAATGGTGTCAATGATATAAAGTCAAACACACACTGGTGAATGGGTTAACAGACATAGCTGGGCTCATGTCTCCTCACCTATCGCAGCCTCCTGGCTTCTCTTTCAGACTCCAGAAGTGTCAGCACATCTCCTTCTCTGACTGGGCCCTTCACGTTCCTGATGATGGAGCGGTTGCTATCATCCATGAACTCAACACGGACCTGTAGGTACACAGATAAATTACATTAACAAGTTAAGACCTTTGCACGTTAAAATCTCACATGATGGTCGACAATTATTTACACAGGAACTGGTGCAGCCATGACTTAATGTGTACCCCCCAGTAACTGAAGGAATTACAGCAATCACATTTATAAATGTGCTGAGCTAAAATGATTGATCATTTGGCTGGGTCATTTTAACTGATTATCATTTAAGTCATTATTCAAGCAAAAAATATCAAAAGTTCTCCAATTCCAAGTTCTTTAATATAAGAATTTACTCCTCTCCCTGTTTACATGACTGGAAATTGGTTATCTTTGTGTTCTTAACACAGAAAAAAGTATTTGCAAACATCGACATATTCTCCATGAAACTGTAGTGGGCATTTTTCCCTATTTATAATATAGGACAAGTTTATACAGCTTTATTTAATAGACCTAACAAAAATTACTGTTTCACTGACAACTTTTCTAATAAATAGGTTTGAACACAAGAAGAGTTTGAACACATCCGCAGAGCTCAAGTCCAGCTTTATTGTCTTACGAGATATTTGTCTTTGCGAGCCAAAAGTCAGACACATGAAAACATGAGTGTTTCTGAAGGGTTTACCAAAGTAATCTTAAGACAACTAAAACATCTATTTAAAAAAAAATTATTTATTAAAGGCTGTGATGTGACTTTTGGGTATCAGAAGTCCGGAACAATGGTACTGCAGATTTTTCAGCTGTCTTTTGCTACACTCACACACTCGTTTTGAGTAACATTACTACCCATAGCAAGGCTACAAACAGGTTTAGGACCTTTGCAAATGACAATAAGCCAACCTGCAGATAACCTGCAAGGGGAAATACATTGAAAACGTTTATGATCATGCTAAACTTGTCGGGGTTGTTCGGTAACTTATTAAGGAAAGAGAAGACCGAACAAATCCCTACGTTAAACAGATGAACCGTCGACCCTGAAACATTAGCTATGTTAGCATACCTGTGTACATTGTCCCTGGGAACCAGTTCTTCCGAGTACTTTGGTAACCTGAAAGTAAAACAAAATTTAGATTAACATTACAACTTTAGGAATAATTGTTTTCTACAGTGGCCACACACAGTCCAGACCAGCATGCACGGGACTGACGGTGAAGCAGCACAGGTTGTGGCATGAACAGGCCTCCATGATGGAAGCACGAGAGCCGACCTGCCGTACGCTAATCGCTGCTTAAACGTTAATTTAGCTTCAATGTTTTGGCACTGTATGAGACAGCAATTGTTTCTGAAGCTGTCTATCCGTCTGGTTACGTTTATTTTCACCATATTAAGTATTTTCTTACTCTTGCGAGCTTGATCGGCTGCACGCGGCTGGCGTCCATGTTGTCAGGTTAGACCGGAAAGGAAGTCACGTGGTGCGCAGACGGTATATATCTCAACTGTAATCTTTTAGTTTTTTAAAATTTGACCATTTTAATTAAATTATAATTAAATTAAAAGTAATTTTAATCACGTATGTACATATGAACACAGTAAAACGTTTTATATTAAAAAAATAATTTTATTTTATATTCCTATTTCCTTTTCCGCTAGATTGGGAAATACCATTCACAAAAGCTTCCATGGGTGGAAACCTGGGCCATACCATTATTCTCTGTATGTGTACTTTAAATTTAACCTTACAATGTGAAATAAAAGACCCAGATAAATGTACTCTACATGGTTTTGCCCACTGTTGTACATGATTTGTTTCTTAATGTTTTGTATTATATATGGAATTCTTGCAGTAACTATGAATACTTTTATAGTACAGTATACAGTTCTTTCATTGGGATGTCTACAACAAACTACAAGACTACATATCTACATGATCCCTTTTGTGTATATTTCCAATCCAAAAAATCCAAAACTGGATTTTTTTCTGGCTTGCTTTTATTTTGAAATGACTAAACTATTTATGATATGGAGTTTTTGCAGAGATAAACTCCAAACAGGGATTTGATTATGAAGAATAGAAATGAAAAGATACACCTAAGGCTTTCGTAAAAATATAGAGAAAATAGAATTTTTTAATACTAAATGTTAAATTCTGTTGTTTGATATTACAAAGTGAGGCTTATCTTTATTGTTCAGCACAGATGCTGTAGCTCAAGCTATCTTATGTAATCTATCTGTACCATATGAATTTCCTGTGAGAAAGCTATCCATAGCCTCGTTAGCAATACAATACTGTCATCACACCACTCCCTCTCCTCTTCCTCCTCTCTCAGAGCTCAAAGCTTTAAATCACAACACTAATCCTTGTGAACAGTATTTTTAACTTGTGTTTGACAGAAAGAACAGCAATAGGATTAGAGAATCAGTGAGGAGGCTGAATCCCTAACTCATGCAGTTGATCTTCTTGCACGCTGAGAGACAAGCACGGGAGCTCTTACTTTATCTTTGTTTCAACCTGTAAGCAGAAATTTTCAAGGGACAACATCTTGCTTAAATGGAGATCTTGTGGAATATTGTTGTTGTCGTTTTTCTCTGACTTTATCTGAACCCGGTACAGAACTTTTGCTGTTTGGTTTTTTGTCTTCTAAGGAGCGGTCACAATGGAGACTATGAAACCAAAGGTGAAAGTGCTAAAGAAGCGTCGCTCTAGTCTTTTTGCAACCGTAAAACGGGAAATTAGTTTTTCACAAAGCATTGAAGAACAGGAGCATGAATTTCCTTTTTCACAGGACAGCTCAGTGAAACCATGGACATCTATGAACAACCTTGATGCTCCTGATGAGAAAAAAAATGAAACAAAAGATCAGACCAAAGACGCACCAAACCCAAGGCAGTCAAACATCGTCAACCTCAACGTGGGTGGAAAGGTGTTCCACATCCCGAAACATTTGGTCCTCCGACACCCAAAAACAAGGATTGGTGTCCTTGCCCTCTGCGATGATCCAGTCAAGCGTCTGACACTCTGTGACGATTACAATGTTCAGAACAACGAGTTCTTTTTCGACAGGGACCCCATGTTTTTCCACTACATATTCCACTTTTACTGCAGTAATGTCCTGTGGGTTATGGACAGCCTTTGCCCTGTCAACTTTGAGGAAGAGATGTCATTCTGGGGACTGAAACTGAAGGACACTCCAAGGTGTGCTGCAGATAGTTGATAGCCTACTACGTGTATTGTGTGGCTTGGTCTGTTACTGTTTGTGTATTTCAAGCATGATTTTGAAAAGTAGTTCTTGTAAAAATTGGTGGTAATTCTCCTCTTCTTCTGCTCAGGTGCTGCCGTATTCTGTTTGAGGAAAAAGTGGATGACATCAGAGACCAACTCAAGGTCAACCAGGAGCTGCTTGATGAGATTAAACCTCACCAGGATGACGAAGGATACAAGAATATGTTTCTTGGAGACCTTCGAAAGGCTCTCTGGGACCTGATGGAGAATCCCTACTCCTCATTGTCAGCCAAAGCCTTTGCTGTGTTTTCCAGTCTCTTCGTGCTCATCTCGATTGTTGCCATGACAATGAATACAGTGAAAGAACTCAGGCAGTACAAACTCGCTGGCAAAACCTACATGGAGTGGATAGAGATCGCTTCCATTCTTTTCTTCACCTCAGAGTACTTTCTGCGGTTAGTCACCACATCCAACATCAAACATTTTGTGAAGAGTGCCCTCAACTTTGTTGATATGGTGGCTGTTATGCCCTACTTCATCCAGATCATTTTTGAGACATTTGTTATAGATGCAGAAGATGTCAGTGGGCAGCAAGATTTGAAGACCATGGCTAGGGTCAGTAAAGTCAGCAAGGTGCTCAAGGTCGTCAAGCTGATGCGCATCTTCCGTATCTTGAAGCTTGCCCGTCATTCTACAGGCATGAGAGCATTTGGTTTCACCATCCGCCAGTGCTCTGAGCAGGTATGTAGGAATATCAAATGAGAAAAATCTAACACAAACACAAAAAATACCCATTGTGGACATCTTAAACTGAGGTGACACGCACAAAACAAAGGAGCATACATGTAATTCCCAAATGAGCTGAAAGAAAGCGGCTATAATCAATATCTTATATTAACACTAGATCATATGATTTGTGACTTGCAACTTGTACTGTTAGTGTTAAACTTACTGTTTTTGGTGTAGTCTCACCATTCATCAGCATTTCCGACCACAGAGGGGAACTGTTTTAATTAAAAAGCTAGCTAGTTAGCAGCTAGCTGATAAAGATAGTGGAGCATTCAGCTGCTCAAGAGGCAGATATTTCACGAAGTTGGTAAAGTCCAAAAACATTACTACACTTGCTACATGGCCATAAACGTGACTCCAAATTGATGCTTCTGTTTCACTACATCTACTGGATGTGTACTAAATAGTTTTGCTAACAAGTTCACCATAACTTCCTCAGGAACCTAGAAAGATTTACAGAAACTTTGGTGGGAAAAGAAGTAACACATAAAAGGTTGACAGGTTCCATGTACATGTGCCAATCATGTCAGAAGTCAAATAATAATTTTATAATCTGTGATTTGCACAGCTAGCGTAAGAATTTAAGATGCTCCTCTTCTTTTTTTTCAACTTACTACTGTACTCCCTTCGGTGATCCCACCTGTGGCGACACTGATATAATACATCTGACACAAGGTTCTTCTGTACAGGAAAAATCCTCAGCCTCATCCAAATAAGAGTATATGTTATTCTTGGCTTAGTAGTTTTTGACAGCTACTGTTTATTTGGACCATTCATGCTGAAAATACCATGTGCACATTTTGTTAATACATAAATATGTAGGTATTCTAGATCAGTCATAATGAACAATATTAACATGTGACCTGATTGGTAGCCCAATCCAAATATAAATGGGCACTGCTGTTGACGTATAATCCTCCGTCATTATTTAGGTGTGCTGTCTGTTTCTATTCATTGCCATGGGCATCTTCACCTTCTCTGCTCTGATGCACTCTGTGGAAGTGGATCAGCCCGGGACACCATTCAGCAGCATACCAGATGCCTGGTGGTGGGCTGCGGTGAGTAGGATGAACTTCAACCTCCAGACGGGCTTTGCCTAAATGCAAAACAGCAGGAATGAATAGCAATGAGGGCTTTATTTATGTATTTTGTGGCCAAAAATGGTATTTTAGTGACTTTACAACAAACTTGGCTGGATCCAAATGTTGTAATAATCTATTTTAGCTTTCCCCTTTCTTACATTTTTCCTTGACCATGAGCATGTATTGAATCAAAGAAAAATGGGATCAAGCCATGACGGACATAACAAAATGCAGCTTAAGCTGCATTTGACTACATATTTATATGATGCCAGGTAACACCTGAACTGCCCCTCATCTTAATGGGGATTGGACGAGCTCTTATGGCTGCTACTTAGATTCTTCCGGATCAGTTAGCATGGTTATGAACCTTGCTAAGCTGTTCCTCTTGACTGTGCTGAAGAGACTGAGGAGAAGCTCGGGGGGGGGGGGGCATTTCAGGGGTCAAGGATTAGGCATACCAGGATTTGTGCTGCCTGTCTAGTCAGACCAGGACAGAAGTGCACAGAGCAGGGCAATGCTATTTCTGTGGTTCTACCAAGCAATGCATTCATGATAACACTATATTTAAAGACTCATTGTATAATCTCTGTTTGTTAGTGAAAGGTTGGTTAAACCGACTTTGATATAGATGTCTTAAGCAGGAAAAAATATCCATCAAATATCATGGATGGGTGCTAGAATAAAGCCGACACAAAAGACAACTTAAAAAGTTTTTCAGCCTGTTCTGTGTTATCATTCCACAATGGGTTGCAAGTATATTTTGCTAATTAGCTATTTGGATAAGTAGGTATTATATAAGATCACTATCTTGGATTCTGTTTCTCCTCATAAATGAATTTCACAGGGCAACCAGAGGTAAAGAGAAGAGATTCATTTTCTCTGACGTTTGTTGGGATAGTCAGAATTAATAACATTAACAATTTTACAGTATTTTTCTGTCTTTGTTTTTAATGTACTAACAGGCCTTAGTATCACTGTACATCACCAACTTGTCTCTCTGTGTTCTTGCGCTCTCATGTAAGGGCGTTTGGTTTTTATTTATCCGGTGGCAGCTGTTAACTTAAATATGTCTAATCCTCTATAATACGGTGTAATGCATCTTGTTTGTGGCCAGACGCACTGATTGCTTTCAAGAGATGGAAAGTGTTGAAGTGCATTCCTGAAGGTTTATTTGATCCTGCTCGTTCCCAACTTGCAACACAAATGATTCGAATGATGCGAATGATCACAAATGATTAGTAAAAGAAACATTTGAACTTTATTGGATTCTCATGAGGCCATGTCCGAAGAGTATTGTGGGGCAGGATGAAAAGCACTATGAGGATGAGCCCTCTCTCTTTGGAGCAAAATAAGGGAAATCCCACTTCTCTTTTTCCACCAAGTTCTCTATATTTTGTAAATATAAAAACATCTAAAAATATAAAAACCAGCGCAGGCAGTCATTTATTTCATGCAGATAGTAAAGCACATTTCCGATGATGCATGTAAGATGGCTCACATTACTCTCTTCCTACAGGTCAGCATCTCTACTGTGGGCTACGGAGATGTTGTCCCTATCTCCTATCTTGGCCGCTGTGTGGCTTTTGGCTGCATCTCGTTTGGCATCATCCTCAATGGCATGCCCATCTCCATTCTGTTCAACAAGTTCTCCGACTACTACGCCAAGCTGAAGGAACAGGAATACACGTATTCAAACACAGAGCGCACCTTCCAGCTCAAGAAACGTCTGAGGCGTAAGTTTGACGGCTGCTTTGAACCCCAGCCAGACGACTCCGATGATGAGATACACTACCGGCCCAGTGGAAGGCAAACCATCCGTGAGAGCGAGGACTGAGAGAAGCTGCCTGGTCACTAAGTCGCTAACCCTAAATGGCCTTATCACCCATGGGTGTAGAAAGTGTGAGACCCCATCTGCCTCCAACTCTGAGCCTGTGTGATTTAAGATAAACAATCTAAGGGGGGGGGCAAATGAGGCAGCAGCAAGTTGAGATAAGCTTTAAGCCTCAGCTTTATAGTCATTGCTGTTTGCACGCAATGGGTGATGACTACTCTGTCAAATAGACAAGATGCTCCTGCTGGACAGCTTGTTGTCTGTCTCCAAGAATAGCGCCCGGCTGCAACCAATTCTGACTAAACTGAAATAGATGTTTGACAGAAGGAGGTCAGGTAGTAACATTATTAATGAAGCAATGTTGCGCTTTGAAGGGAGCAGGGTGCTTTCGAAAAACTCTTTTCATTGGAAGTGCTATTAATGAACTGCTTTGGACAACTACATGGTCTCTTACATGTTACTTTACATTCCTGATACTCCGCAGCACAGACAGTATTACTTTGATTTCAGTCTTCTGTAAAAATTTTGGCTAATAGCTGGTGAAGCATCATGTTGGACTGTAGTCATTGTTTTCCACTTTTTTAGACTGAGGATATTTAAATGTTCAAGCAATGAAAACTTGAGAAAAATCATCATCATCAACATCACCCGTGCAAAGCTCTCCCATCACGTGCCATGCGTCATGCGTAGCATTCTTGTGGAAACCGCACCTTTTCTTTCTGTCCGGTCGCTCAGCGTGCTCTTGACTGTACCTAAGTGGGAGGGGAGGTGCAGCAGGGGGGGGTGTCAGTAGCTATTAAGATCATGAGTGTAAATTTGTTCTCAAGGATTACCAGGATTTCCGCTTGCACCTCCTGCCTGGTTGGACAGGGGCAAAAGTCAATGAGGTCCTGCGCTATTTGAGTCGCACTGAAAATCTGATCAGGTGTGTACGATCAGGTCCTATTCAAGTGCTTACAAGCCACTTTTATGAGTGATAGCATATCAGTTAGTTTCTGATATAGGTTTCTCACACAGGAAAATGCAGATAAGAGCTTATAATTGTATAAGCAGCAGGTCAATGTTTGGCACAGTCCCTGCAGGGAGTGAGAACTAAGCTTGAATGTTGCTGGACTTTTAATGTCAGAATCAAGCATGTCCCAGTTCTGTAGTAAGAACTGTCCCTGCACTGTGTGCTGGCTGTGTTTAGCTCTTCAGCTAAGATCATTAGACCAGCTCCTGCCCTGGGCAACAGTTCTCCAAAGACCAAAAGTACAGTAAGCAAATGCATTATCTCATCTCAATGTGTTGTACTGGCTACTCACTCAGTGCTATGGACAAAGACTGCAGTTTTTGTAGTAGATCTGCTCAAGACCGGTCTGTTCGGTGCATTGGAGTACCATTTCGTTATATTACGCCCACTGACCCTCTGTCCAGCTGTGCTGAAGATGTGTTGTGCCTCTGGTCATGACAAAACACCCTGCACCTGCATTGGTCACCTCTGATTTACAAAAACACAGCTTTATAAAGTATTAGTCATTAGTTCCCCCCAAATGAAACACATTTAGGGACAGTGAATTATTGAGTGAAATATCAATATAACATTATAAATCTTTTCATTTGAGTTTTATGCAAATACAAAAATACTTGTTGAAGGGTAAGAATTTATTTATGAACTAGTGACAGATGTGACCACATTCTATTTATATTTTTCCTGACACAATAGTAGCCAAAAGATTTCAAACTGATTTCAAACTGATCAGATTGAAGTTTGTTCAGTCTGATCAGTTTTATACCTCTTGTGCATGAATGATTGTAACTGTATGAATATTATAAAAAAAAAAACTGCATTGGTTAAAAAGTGTAAACAGAAGGTGACAAAGGCAGAGGACATTTTATGAAATCTTACAGGTATTTTTTAGCTATTTAATTTATTTCATTCCTTTTTCAGAGTTGAAAATCTATACAGTATATTACTCAGTGACTGTACAGAATACTGTGAAATGTGTCATTAATTTTCTTTATCGTACATAAAAACAAAACAGAAAAAAACAATTAAATGCAATACAGGCTGGAAACCATGTCAAACACAGATTTTATTATGTATTAAAATATGTACTCCTCAATTCCCATCAAAAGTGAAATTCTTGCTGAATTAAAAAAAATCTCTTCCTCATATCATTCTTGTATCATTATTTTCCTTTAAATACAAGAGACTTGACGTTTGTGTCTATTAACAGACACTTGTCTCATTCGTCTGAGGGTCGGTGCTCCTGTCTAATAGTATTACAGGATAAGGTATTGGGAGAGATGCCAGTGGTTTAATGGTGTCGTCAGGATCAATTAAAAGTCAAGAGTACTGAGGGATTTTGGCTGTCTCGTGTGACTCTGGCTGGACAGAGTGGACAGGAATAGATGCAGTCAAAAGGGACATCAGGGGAAGGTCAGGAAGACAATCAGACAGACACAGATACACAGGAAGACAGACACATACAGAATATTCAAGGATAGATGAACAACAATTTGACTAAAATTATTGCTGATAAAAAGCTAATATTTGATATATAGTATATAATTCTCACTTGATATGATATGATGACATGATGTAAGAGCAAGACGTTGAAGGTTTCGCAGGATTACTGTAAAATATACACTTCATCCACCAAACGTAGGGCAGACACCAAATGTACCCGATACGTTTGGTGGATGGCATAAAACCTTTGATGACCTTAAAGCAGCAATAAGAGATCTTAAGTAATACATAAGTGTTAGCAAATGGGTGATACTGAAACAGCCAGCAGACTGTTCCACTCTGGCTCTATTCGGCACTTTAGATGCTAATTGCTCTACTGGGTTTAGCAGCAAGTCGCTAACTGTGTCTGTCTGCTGTTAAAAGGTTCATGAGAGCAGCTCAGACTGAACCAAGACGTTAAGGTTACGATTCATAAAACCAAAACGATGAGCCAAAAGACACTAAAACTCCCCCACTGATGATTCACTGTGGGTTCATCACTACAGACAGTCAGTCGATCCATTGCTTATATACAAACGTGGAGCAGCTTTAAACTTTACGTCCTCAAAAAGACACATCAGACAGAGAAACTTGAAACTCAGATGTTTCCTTTTGTTCAAGAGAGGCATGGATGATTTTGCATCTATAATTAATTTTGCCCTGAAGTGCAAAACAAAACAAAACAAAAAATTTGGCAGAAGAAATCAACCAAACAGAAAACAATCAGCTTTCAAGCTTTCGGTTCACAGTTAACATTTTTCTGGAGTCTAATGTTCTGTCAGCGGTACAGTGGCGAGTAATATGATGAGCCAAACAAAGTGTGGTTAATTCGATATCTGTAGAAAATATCTGGGTGGACTGTAATGAACAGCATGGACTTTAACCTCCTTCTACAAGGGATAAAGGACAGGGATCAGAATCAGTGAGGTGAAAGGATTTAGACATGACTGATACTTACATCTCTACCTCCTGCTCAGAGCAGCAACTGAGAGTCATTACTTACCAGTGATATCGTCATTAGAGGTTAAAATGCCAAGCATAGCCAGAAGTACGTTTAATACATTAAAGTGCCACCTTTCATGTTTTTCATCAGCGCTGCAAATATGAAACGGTCATCACTGGCATGTTTATGCAACTACAGTATGGCCCGGGGTGACCATGTGTGTGAATAGTTGCGTCAATATCCTTGACATCTTTTTGCCAGTCGCACTCTGTTCCAATTAGCTCCCATCCCTCAAGAGGTGCCAAGATAAGGTGTAAAAGCCACTCACATTCAAGGAAAATTGTTCACCGTAATAACATGAATTATGACGTGATGACAAATTTCAAACAAACATACGTACATGCCGTGAGCGAAATAGGAGCTTAGGCACGTCTCTCTGAAAGAAACAAATTAAAAACCACTAAAACCACATTGTGATCTGTAAACACAGGGATTATTAGCATCTGAACTGCTTGAAATGTATCTTGGTTTTATTGCTTTTCTCAATTAAGGCCCAAACTCAGACCTCTGTCGGAGCTGTGTGATGTTCTTGTGAAGCTCAATGGCCCAAAACAATACAGAGTATTTCTTTCTTTCTTTCCTTCTTTCTTTCTTTCTTTCTTTCTTTCTTTCTTTCTTTCTTTCTTTCTTTCTCACTATGAGACATTTTTTTTTAATCTTAATGACAGTTTCAACCTTGAGGAGACTTCGCCTCACTATCATGCTGAGCTCCAGATCAGGACATGCTTTTCCCTCACCAAGGCTGAATACATGTTTCCAACAAACATGTGGCCTCAAAGTTTTTTGGAAACCGTCACTGTGGGTAACAATGAATATATAAACCCCCTCATGTTCGCCTCAGAAGTCACCACTCTCCACACGCCCAACGTCGTTCAGTTCCTACCTCCGCTGACCAACTGAGGAGCAGTAACACATCATACAATGGCTGCCGCTAAGCGTCTGGCGTCTCTCATGGTGGTGCTTGTGGCTGCAGCGAGTGTGGTTCACGCACAGGAGAGGATTAAGATGTGTGGCAGAGAGCTGATACGTCTGGCCGTCTCATCCTGTGGGAACTCACGGCTAAGGAGAAGCATCCCTGACGTAAAAATGGGCCAGCAGCTGCCCGCTCCTCACTGTAAGTACTTTATGTTACATTTTTAAACATATCATGTGCATGGGTTGAGAGACACTCCTTGCAAACATCATCACAGATGTAAGTGATATTTACCATTTTAAACATTTAAAGCCACATTTGTGCACCGTCTTACATAACAGTGTCTGCTGCTGTGCAGGAAGATGCCTTACTTGGAGTTTGTCATCATTTGAGTGACTATCTGATCCATCAACCCAGCAAAATACATACGGGCTTCCCTCCAAAATGCAAAACCTTTTTTTTTATTTTTATTTCCTTTGCAGTTTCACAGAAGGTTTCCAACTGAAACCAAGAAATCTTGTGTGTTTTCCGGTTATCACTCTTAATTCCACATATCTTTCCCTCTCCTCTGCACAGGGGACCATGACGCCTCCACAGAGGAATGCCGGGCTTCAGAGACAGTGCACATCCATGCAGAGTCTGACGAGGAGGAGGACGTCGTCTCCTTGGCTCCTCACTGGTACCCCATGTCCTCTCGGATCAGACGAGCTGCTGGGAGGATATCTGATATTTGCTGCGAGAAAGGATGCAGCATGAAAGAGCTGATACAGTTTTGCTAGACTTAGCTTCCTACTCGTCACATGATAAAATACAGTCTTGGTCTTGGTTGGTCTGAGCTGCAAGTTTGTTTAAAGGGAAACTTTACCAAGTTGCCTAATGCTTGAGAAGTCACATAAAATGATTTTGCTATATTTCCAGTGATGACAAACACTGCACATCAGTAGTTTTATATATACTGGATCATATTTAATTAAATTATTGTCTATGTCATGAAGCAGAACAAAAGATAAAATCACAATGTACACTGAGTTTTACTGAGACTGTCAAATTGAAATGATTGTTTATTTTGTACTAAAGTAATTTATTCTCTCTTCCTCACTGTAGAAAAAAGTTTATTTCCAACCCTCAAACTACACTGAAATAAAGCTTTTGATGATTGTTTATGAAACTGTATTTTCTTATCTGTGATTTCTCAGCCTTTTTGTGATGGTTTCTCAACTTCTATTGGTGCAACGTCACAAGGACACCAGGTTACTCTAGGTTAGTTTGCAAGTAGGTGGAAGTACTTACAACAACATGATAACAATATTAATTTGTTGTAATTCCTAATGTAAACATTAATACTTATACTTATACAACAGTGGTGCTCTCTCTGATAGCACTAAATCGGATTGAAGCCATTGGCTGAGCCATTCAGCTCCATAATAACAGAAATAATCTCTGCAACCCGGCCAGTTCCTCACACTGACGGGTGTATAATTCCCTCAATGGATAATCAAATATGCTTCTGATTATCTGCCACTCTATACTGCAGGCGTCCTAAATGACTCCTAATAGCAAATGAAATCAGCCAACAGTGACTGATTGGTTAATTGGTTTTATTTGGGGACGGACGGATTGTGTCGTGTGCACAATTGGTTTTTGAGAATCTGGTTTTATTTTCTGCGTTATCTGACAAAACACCCGAAGATGAATGTTAAATTCAGATCAAGTTAGAAGCAGATGATGCTGTTTGGAAGGTTTTTAACTACAGCCGCTAAGAGAGAGCAACAGTCTGATAATGTTTTTAACAGTTGGTTACATCTGGCAAACTGCTGCCAGCCCTGCAACTGGCTCTACATACACTCTTTCAACACAGTAAACCAATTTCTAAGCTTGAGCCTTGTCCCTGATCCTGTGGTAATCGTGTGGAGTGGGGAACGCTTCAGGTAGTGTAGGGTTTGTGAACACAGCCCTGCGATGACCCCTCCCCCAGCCAACCCCCTCATCAGGGCCAGGTTAGAAAGGTGCCTGTCAATTGTGGCTGGAAGCATTGGCAGCAGGTAAGTGGTTAAAAAAACAAACAAACAAATAAACAAACATACATCATTTTATACCATGGTGAGCCAACTAATTCTTTTTCTAGGTTCACCTGCTGTTTTGCCTTGAATGTTTTTATCTTGGTTGTTTTTACCTTGGATGTTTTTGCCTTGGTTCTACCTACTTTGTTTGACCTCATGGTTTATTTTGCTTTATTGGTTTCATTTGTTTAGTCAGCTGGGTTGTTTGTTGGTGGTTCTTTGTTCTTTTAGTCCTTTTTGGTTTAGTTGTTTGTTTTACTTGTGATAAATTGTTTTGCAGTAGCTTCTCTTTTGGAGTGTAGCTCAGTGCTGCAAGGTTCGGAGGGTAGGCACCATGAGGTCCCCACCCTTTACGCATGCAAGTAAGAGAACTGGGACACAAGTGTTCTTCGGTCACGCAGTAGCACCCCTGGGTGCTCCTCAGTTGTCTGCCTCTCTACGAGTGGCCTCAGCTCACTTTTCTTTCCCTTATGTTGAACTGATTAAGTATTAGCACCAGTAAACTTGAGTTGTTTTCTAGAAAACTACTATTGCACTGCAAGGAGTAAAAGTGGGCAAGTAAGGCAATGATATTTGAGGGCATTTATTTCATCATCTACAAATCAAATTATGTTTTTAAAATGAAATTATGAATTAAAACTAAATTACAAAAATAGGTCGCACTTTATTTTAGTTTTGTAGTTTTATATTAATTTCCTAATGTATGACATGTGGTACTAATTATAGGGAAAATGAGGACAGTGTTGATGGTGTACATTTCCAATTAATTAATCGCTGGTATAAAATAGACGAGGGGTTTTGGTCTGGGCTACAACTTCAACACTGTTTTTTGTTTTGTTTACAGTATGCAAAATTATGAGAAGCATTTTTTTTGTGATTTTCTAAGGGGTTTTAGAGATGTTCATTTGCAAAAGAAATTAGGAATATCCCCAGAAAATGTAAATCGCATTGAATCTAAAAATGTTTATCATACATTTTCAGTTCAGACTGAGCTATGGTTTAGAGAAGTGAGTTTTGATAGAAATTGTGAGCCAAACTAGTCACTAACTTCCCATTTTTGTTTTGTGTAAGTTATTCAGTTGGACATGTGAAAATAAAACTTGTCCGCAAACATTTAATGTAACATAGATGGAGAAGGTTTCTAAGAATAATTGAATAAATAAAAAATATTTACTTGGTTTAGTTGTTTCAAGGAAATTCTTCTGAAAATCTAAAATTACTTAGAAACTCAAACCCAGTATTTTCTTAATTATTAACTCCAAATTGAATAATTATTTCCAGGAAACCTAAAATTACAAACATTTTGCACAACTGTAAATGAAAATGTCAACTTGAAAGTATGATTTTATTCATAATAAAGTAATGTGCACACCTAAAATAGATGAAGGGAAGGGAGAGCAGGGGAGGGTAGGATGTGATTTGACACAGCAGCTTTATGCAGTGTCTCATGTTAACCAGCAGAGAGTGACAGATATCTGATTTTAAGTGATGTACTCTGCTTTCCGTTCGCCAGCAGCACTCGCCTCCTCACTGCTGACACTGGGGAGCTGCTTCATTCTGCCAACATAAGGCTGTAACTTCTGAATTTTATTGTCACTGCATCAAGTTCAGGCCTTTCTGTTGCATCTCTGCCACTTTTTCCTCCCATGATGATCAGTCTCTCAAAGCTCATTACTCTAAAACGCTCAATCACCTCAAGTGATTGAGGTGATCCTTGTGACAAGAGGAGAAATCTGATCAGAGGACACTTCCAGGCCTCAGCCCATCATTATTCAGTACCAACATGAGATGACAAACGCACGGCTGCATGAGGCCTCTTTTGATGGGGCTTCTCCTTGTGCCTGTTTTTTGTCAACTGAAAAGCTGCGAAACCGAGTAATGACGATGAAATCCAGGCCTCTCTCTCCTTCTGTCTTTCTGTCTCTTTGTGTCTAGTTCCAGTTCGCAGGAAAAGCAGCAGGACAGAACAGCACCTTCACTGAGTGCCAGCAGCGCAGCTACACCGCTCGCACACATGCACGAACACACATAAACACATGGGAACACAAGCTTGTCAGGCGTGTGTGTGTGTGTGTGTGTGTGTGTGTGTGTGTGTGTGTGTGGCCTGGTGGGTGTCAATTTGCATGTAAATGAAATGGCTCTCAGTGCTCTTGTTTCCAACAGTAAAAGTGTCAAGGCTAAGGATGCTATATTTGGTGTATGTGTGTATGTTTTCATACTCTGCATGGGTCTGTTTGCACATACTGTGTGCATGTGCTCTGCAGAAACTGTGTGGCTGTAGAAGCCCAGGAAAACCCATCTGAAGTTCACGTCCATATAAGCTTTTTTTATTTCTTTGTTTTTTTTTATTTTTTTTATTTTGTAACCAGTGAGCACATGTGCGTATGGGAGCAGAGGCCAAGAGAATGACTGACATGTCTTTTTGTGTGTCCATTATTGTCAGTGCTCCGGGCATGCTGCTACGTAACATAAACTGTCAGATGTTGTGTCAAAGAAATCCTCAGTAACAGGGTCCTTGTCTTTGTTCTGTGCTGTGTTTCAGTCTTGACTGCAAAGTTGAAGATGACTTATATTACAAGCTTGTTGTATATGAAATAGGTCTGATCTACTCTGTTTATGAATATTAGAAATAAATGAAGCAACAAGAAAATGAAATCTAAAATGGAAATCTGATTTTTAATTTGTAAAGTCAGCGGACACGCATGTACTCGTCTTCACTGCTGTCTACATACATCTACAACTACCATGGCACTGACTTGGCCTAAGTTTACTGCTACAGTTTGTGTTCATTTGCTCAGGTTTTCATTAACTTTCCGATGACTTATACACATTGTTTCCGTCTTCAGCGATCACAAGTTTGCTAGTGTTGTGGAAGCGTGGCCTTTAACCAAATCAGCTGGATCTTTGAAACAGGCTAGCTAATATAGATTACCATGTTTACGACTTGTGAGTTCTCACTTCACTAAACAACTTAAGACGGTCGTATGATTGTAGAGTTGTTAATGTGAGGGTTAAAAAAAATACTGTGCATTGACATTATAACACCAAATCCTTTTGAATAAAGGACTTTGGGTGGTGTGAAGTGTAAGTGGCAAGTCAGACGTAATAAGCCTTTAGAAAAATCCTGAATGTAACATTGAATTGGATGCTGATGTGAACAAGGTGGAAAATGATTTTAAATGAAGTCCAATACAATATGCATGCAGCATCAAACACGGTTTAATACTATATGTTGTGTTGGTCTCATACTGCAGCATACAGATGCATATAGACCTTACAGGTACGCTCCACTGTGTCGTAAGGCGTTCTGATGAAGGGTTTATGAGTTGTAACTTCTGGTTTACTGATGGCTAATAAAACGTATTAATGCTTTATAGATCAGTAATAATCTGTCAGTTGTCTGTAACAACATGTGGGTTGAAAGCCGGCGTTTATCCGGCACCAGGATTACAGGGGGCCAAGGCGTGTTATTATCTGTAATCGGAAGCCTTTACATCAAATCCTGGTTTTGCAGCCACTTTGTGTTTGTGTCCAGAGCTTCACATTAATCACATTTCTAGTTCAGATCTTAGTCCTGAACCTAAAAGCTCTAAAAAAAATAAAAAAAAATAAAAAAAGACAAGACATCTCCACTGCTGCACACTGCTCAGTCAAGACCTCAGTCTTTAATTCATGTCCAGCTCTTGACATCATCCCATATATTGTGCAACGTTGTTATC